AAATCAAACTCAGCACAGGCTGATGGCATTGACACATATACTATGCATGCACACGCACACACACACACACACACACACACACACACACAGCACAGCACAGGCTGATGGTGCACACACACACAGAGAGAGCACAGGCTGATGGCATTGACACAAATACATGTATGCACACACACACACATACACACACACAGGCACACATACACAGAGTACAGGCCGATAGCACACACACACACACACACACACACACACACACACACACACACACACCAAAATAAATAGATAAAGAAAAACCAGCCAGGTTATTTCAGTACCAGGCAGCACTGGCAGCCTTGGGTGGCTGAGTCAGACGACCTTTTACGACAACACGTGCACGCAGCTGCATTATCAATGGTCTCCTGAGTGAAGCACTCTCAGCTCTCCTCCAGATTTATGTTAAAGCATGGAAAAAAAAAAACAGAGAAAAGGCCAGGACTGAGCCTGCACACACAGGAGATTGGGAGAAGGTGTTGCAGGGAGTTGGGAGGTTGATGAGAGTTCTCCTGAGACACACCCAAATGAGCTAGCCTAGGACACTAGACAGCCTTCACTGATCCTCATTACACACATGTGCAACACCCAGGAGTCACTCTGGGCTGGTTTTACTCAGAAACTTGTGAAGATCATCAGCAAAGACTTCTCCCCCTTAGAGAGAGGGAAGTCCAGAAATAACAGTCTGGGCTAAAAAGAGAAACATCTTTCTGGCTCGTGTGCCAACAAGTGTACCCACTTTTACTGTTTTTCTCAAATAATCACCCAGTTTTTTCACAGGGGCAGACAGACACTAACTGAGGGGGCTACAGCTTCACGGGGAAATACTCAAATGGCTGCTCCCTTCCAGAAAGATATGTGTGATGATATTCACACATCACTGCTCACCTCTCTGTTTTTATACGTTGTAAGTTTATATAGAACGCGTCAGAAAGAGAAAACATATCCTCAAATGCAACACTGTTATTTATACATGGTAGAAATAATTAATATCAAAGGCGATTTGATTTTCTTTTTCATATACAGGCTGGTTTATTTTCTGACATAAAATATTTATCATAAATGAACTACTATAAAATTGAATAACACCCGTTGGTGCATGATTTACAGAATTCAAACACTTGGTCATGGAGGCAGGAAGGTCATGTGTTCAAAGATGGTTTAGTCTATAAACACAGCTAAGACAATTACCTTTGTCTTTGCTATCTGAAATACAGGATCCACCATGGCAATACTTCCCACCGTGTAAGATACTGTTTGCAGTACTAGGTGACCTCTAATCACCAGATTTGGGGATAATGTGTAAAAAAAAAAAACACTCAATAGAATGAGCAGAATCCAAGAGAAACACTGAGTGAATTCAGAGTGAATTCCTACGGCTCACAGGATGACAGTTTTCTAAGTCATCTTTAGGGTAGATGGTACAGGTGGTAAAGAAAGCTACAGATAGATAGACTGAACAACAACAAAACAAACAAAAAACTCTACATTCAGTGCTTGATGCTGATAGCACTGAAATGACCTACACTCCTGGAGGTTCGGAGTCATTCAGGAGTTTGAAACTTGATCCATTTATGGGGACTTGAAGTATTTACAAAACATAACAGCAAAGAGCAAATGCTGCCATTCTATTGTGTGGCTCCACTTAGTGGCATAATGAAAAATAACGATGCACACAAAGAGTGTGCAGCAACTGGCACATAATAAATTTTAATTACCATCGTGGTCAACATTTAACGTCCAGAATAACGGGCAGAATTTAATGATCTTTCAAGTTTCTTTTCAACGCCACACTTTTGATGAATTCCTGAGCATCCCTCTCATGCAGACTACTGCAAAGCACAGTCACACGGGGCTGGAAGAGAGAGATACAATCTGAAGGGCAAGGAGGTAGACAATGGACTTAGAACACAGAAGGGATTGAGAAAGCCCAGCTCCAGGGTTCTCGCTAGGCATGGAGTAAAACAAACATCAGAAAGGTACAATAAAATTTCACATCCAAAATGTAAAGATTTCAAACTAAAAAGGTTCAAGTCCAAACTGTTTTCTACTTTTGAGAACACAGTTTTAAGTTAATCTAAGTGTATGTGGACCCTTTATATATAAGAGAGAGAGCATACAGAGGAGGTAGGCTTAAAATACTCCTATTGGCTCAAGATGTTCTGCTTAAACGCCTAAGACAGAATGGTATATGAATTGAATCATGATTCCTTTTATTAAAAGATTGATTGATTTCCTTACTTATTTACATGGTGTTGTCTGCACATATGTACACAAGAAGGCACTGAATCCCATGGGACTATGGTTATAGATAGACATCAGTTATAGACAGTTGTGAGCCACCATATGGGTGCTGGGAATTGAACTCAGGACTTCTGACAGAGCAGTTAGTGCTCTGAGCCACTGAACCACCTCTCCAAGACCACATCTTGATTCAGCTTTTAATTCAGCTTTCTTTAAGAAACCTTCCCTTGATGACCATGATATAGATAAACACAGGAGTGGCCAGACACAAGAAACCAGTGGGCCTTTATACAGTGACTAGCACAGCCTAAAAATGGAATTAATGCTGCATTTAGGTTTTTTGGTGGTTTTGGTTTTTTTGTTTGTTAGTTGGTTGGTTGGTGGTTGGTTTTTGGTTTTTCAAGACAAGGTCTCTCTGTGTAGCCCTGGCTGTCCTGGAACTCACTCTATAGATCAGGTTGGCCTCGAACTCACAGAGATCTGCCAACCTCTGCCTCCTGAGCGCTAGGATTAAGGGCGTGCGCCACCACTGCCTGGCTGCTTTCTGCATTTAGTTTTAATTAATGCAAATACGAAAGCCACAGAGAGCTGGTGGCCAGCCCACCACATAGTGCCATCAGTTGGGAGTGGCTGCCCCACAGCACCAACATCATCAGGATCCTAACGCGGTTCTGGGTCGGCCAGCATAGACGGCTCTGACAGAGTGGAGATTCCTGTTCTGGATCAGGGAGGGACGGACTATCCGCAGGCTTGGTTCAACAACTTTCTCTCTTCTTACAACCAAAGAGACCCTCTCTTGCTACCTACATTGTCTCTTGGACATCAAAAAGTTCATTTTTGCTCCTATAAGAAGTAAGTGTTGCTGAAAAGAATCAGATTATAGTAGGATAAAAAATTAAAAGAGAATTCCCCCCAAGATAATGCCAGCTTCTCGTAGCTCTGTAGAAGTGGGTGAAGCCCAATGTTAAGCTATTCATTATGTTAAGAGCTATGTTGGTAGGCCTCTGTGCTGGCTGGTTTTTGTCAACTTGACACAAACCTAGACATATCTGGGAAAAGGGAATCTTTTTTAAAAATTATTACTAGTTTAAGCATATAAGTGGTTATGCCTATATGTATGTGTACCATATGTGTGCTTGGCACCTGCAGGCTAAAAGCAGGCATTGGATCCCCTGGAAGTGGAGTTACAGACCATTGTGGGTCATCCTATGGCTCCTAAGAATCGAACCCTGGTCCTCTGGAAGAACAGCCAGTGTTCTTAACTCCAGCATCTGAAGAGGGAATCTTAGGCAAATCTGTGGGGTATTATCTTCATTAATGATTGATTGAGGGCCCATCTTAGACAAGTGGTCCTGAGTTGTGTAAGAAAGCAAGAGGAACAAACCATGGGGAGCACAAGCCAACAAACACTATTCCTCCATGGCCTGTGCTTCAGTTCCTGCCTCTGGGTTCCTGTCTCAAGTTCCTGTCCTGCCTTCTATGGGTGATGGGAGACAAGCTATAAGATGAAATAAACCCTCTTTCATCCTCAAGCTGCTTTTGGTCATGGTGTTTTATCACAGCACTGAAAACCCTAACTTCAGTAATGCTACAGATGTGTGCCACAGTCTTGTCATTAAGATGATTCAACAAATAAGAAACAAGATACATGGACAAGGTAAGCCGCATGATCCATTTTTCGGATGCACACAATATACCAAAACCACTGAAAAATAAAAGTGGATGGAAAATGACACATTTCCCCATCACTTGGGGACACACGGTGCTTCTCTTTCTCTGAGAAAGTATTCCTGAAGTAACATCTTAGCCAACTGTGGATGAATTCAACTGTCACATAAAAGATGTCACACAGCATGACCATCAGGTGAAAAATTAGGAACATATATTCACACTTCCATGTCCCAAAATAGGTTCCTATAAAGGTCTCCCTAAGGAAGGCTATGCCAAACTTCCACAAACAGTTGGTTCAAAGTGATGCTCAAAGCCAAGTTGAGAATCATTTTGAAGTCTTCTTTGGAGTTCACATATGTATACCCCAAATGGCAGGAGGCTGGTATAAGCAACTATTTCGATTCCAGGTCCTTAGTCTAAAAAGGCTCTGGAATGGTCCAAGCCTCTTTCAAATGCTACAACACCCAAAGATGTCAGTCAATGCCTTGATCCAACTGCTCTGAGTGAACATATTACAGTAGTTATTTGTATAACCCTCCTTTTAAAGAATTCCCATCATCCAACTCAGTAAGCCAATCAGTTCAAGTGATTTCCTACTTGACCGGAATGTCATATACAGTTGTGCATCCCATATGACTACATATGGAACTATAGTGGTCCTGTAATATCATACAACTAAGTGATATTGTACCTAACTTGGTTGGCATAAGTCATTCAATGATATTTGTAAAGCAGCAAAATTATTTCTCAGACAATTTTTTGTCCTTAAGCAGTACGACATGACTATCCACCAATTCATCTTGGGATTTTCATCTTATTTTGTTCAAAGACCAAATGACTTTTATAAGCCAGATAAATTTCCAAAGACAACAGAGCATTCTAGTCAGCACAGATGACCAGAAAGTTGTCAACTATTACATATCTAAATTATATATAGTTAAAGAGAATCTCTCCATATTAAAACAAAACAACTCTCCTTGTTTGTCCTCCTGAAATCTAATGCCAAAAAAAGAAAAAAGAAAAATTAACACCATGAATTCACAAGCCTGTTTTCTTACCTCCACCACGGTGGTTCCCGCAGCTTTGCACATTGGCAAGTTGAAGTTTCTTGCACTTTTCCTATATCAGACAAGGAAGAGAAGAGGGAGAAAGATCAAAGACAACTTGAAAATGCAGACCAAGAGCGTTTCTACCATGAATCTATGGATCTAAGAGTGCATGACTTATAACTGTCTTTAAACTTAGAAGCTCTCATGGCCATTTCATTTGATTTATGTGGTTTTTAGAGTAGGTGGAAGGAAAGGCTGTTTTTCATGTTCAATCAATAGCTTTTATACACAGAAAAACCAAACAGATATTCATAAATATCTGAAATTAAATTCTCCTAATCTTTTAACCAAGACTAAACTTTGCTACCATAGTTACATATTTCACTGAGAAACTTTTAAAAAGTAGGAAGAGAAAGAGTCAGGAATGCAGCTTGGTGGTAAAGCACTTACTCCGTGTGCACCAGGCCCTGGGCTCCAACTCCAGCATCACAAAGGAAGAGAGAAAGGGGGTAAAGTACTAAGTGCTTCATGGGAGAAGGTACAGTCTTTCCTACTAAATATTCCCTACTAAACAAAGAGAAGCCTCTGCTAGCTGACAGGATACGAAACACTCACAGATGTGTGAGTCCTTCTAAGGATTATTTGGGAGAACAATTTTGTGATGTATGGACCAGCTGTCCCAGTGACTGTGAATGAAATTTGTATTCTGAGAATCTGGACCACTTGACCACTGAGCTGATAGCTTTCGCTTTAGACCACCACTCAGTGACCATCGGCACCTACATACGGTCGGAGCTTACAGGCCCAAGGAAAGTCTTCAGAGACCATAGCCAGGAATCGGAGCCCAGGAAGAATTTCTACAAATATTTTAAGTAATTGATACTTGTTATATAACTTCATTCATCTTTTTTATAAAGCATCAGAACTTTACAAACATCACATCAATGGTCAAAGAAAGCAGGCAGCATATCAGTCTGCCTAGAATTTCCAAAAGTAGTTGCATGTCAAAAGCCTACAGTTCAAGAAATCAGAGCATTATTATCACATTGTTCTTCAGAAATAAATAAAAACAATGCAAGTGCTGCTGAGAATTTGACTGTGATTGAGGCCAAACTACATTTGTTAAGAAAAGTATTTTTTTTAAAAATCCTTCATTAAAAACAGCAAATAAAAAAATGATGAAGAAAATTATTTTTATAACCAAATAGGTCATGTAGCTCACCTCTTACATATTTAGCCCAAGCAGCCCAACTTTTAAAACACAACTATCTAATCTACAAATCCAAGACATTAAACACTTATAATTACTTAGAGTTTAGTATGCAGAGGTTACTCAAAAGACAGGAAAAATCGCGTAGGCCTGTGGCTACTCAGATAATGAAAACAGGAAGAGCTCAGCATTTGTGAAGATAATTAGCTCTTCAGATAGAACATTTAGAAGGCTTTCCTGGGAGACATTAGCTACACAAGAAAAGAACTCACCTAAACTATTATTAGCAATTTTCCCCAAAATATCAGAGCAATTTTGACATGTTAAGTAAAAGATAACATTAAAACAAAAAAATACATGTTGGCTGCTGTCATGTTTACCGAGAAAATAATCACTCTTAGCAATAAAAATACAGATGGAAAAAAATAATTGCATGTATCTGTAAACAAGAGTATATAAATCCACTTCTTTTTAAACAGGGTCTCATATAACCCAAGCTAGCCTCACACTCATCATGTGGTGAGGATGACTTTGAACTTCCGTTTCCGCCTACCTCCACCTCCCAAATGCGCTGGGAATGCCATACCGTAGAATCAAACCCAAGGCTTGAGGCATGCTAAGCAAGCACTCTACCAACTCGGCCAACAGGAACAGACCTACACATACAGCATATCGGCAGGACCACTGGGACTGCATGCACTTCTGGACACAAGTCCATACACAGGTGTGCACTACTCTAAGCCCTTTGAAAAGGGTCAGAATATCACAGCAACCCTCTGTGATATTCACTTCTGCTGTCCTGATTTAGAAAACACAGAGCTGGTGACATCCATTACGTTAATTTTGTTTAACTGCTAAGGATGGAACACAGGACCTTAAGCAAGCACATCACCTGAGTTATAGCTTCCTTTTTACCCAAGGTAGGAGGTGAGGGTGGGAACTCAACCTGCAAGACACAGGCTGGAATGCCTACAGTAGTTTGTTTTTGTTTTGTTTTTTAACTCCCACAATACCTGAAAATCACGTTTCCTGCCCGGTCCGCTTTCCAGGCTTTCACCAAAGCAAAATCTCCCGTGATGGCTTCCTCCAAAATAAAGTGCTGTCCGTTAAACTCCCTCACCTGCAGGAGACAAGGACTGACTGTCAGATTGTGTGCAGGGCTTGTGTAATTGTACTATGCACTGTGCTCTGAAGAGGCACCCACCAGGAACGTAAGTCTAGCGAACGAGGCTTTCTTGGGGAGAGGAACCTCAAGAGACTTCCTCAGTAGCATGGGGCCTTCTCAAAATAGTCCAGGGAGGCTTCAAGAAGAGAGTGTGCACAGGTCCCATGTCGAGTGCAAATTCAGCATATTCAAGGAACTAAAACCTCTACACGTCTAAATGGTAAAGAGTTTCACTACCCATTTGACTGTGTGCCTTGGTTACATTTGGGGCATAGAATATAGCCCCTCTTTCCTTCTACCCCCCAAAATAAAAATATGCACATTACACAAAATGGCTTATCTATTGTTTCTCATTCATCTGTGATCTATAATTACTGTTGAGATAATCGATGATCACAGGAAAAAAAAGTAAACAAATTGAAAAAGAGCTGGCATTCTCCCGTCTGTATGGGCACGATGCAGGCTTCCTTCTATTAACATCTTCTTTTAACTTCTTTGATAGATTTTCTTCACATAAAATCTCAGTGGTTTTTGCATTTACTCATAGGAACGTCTTCCTTTTATTTTGCTACTATGAATGTTGGTTTTAATGTTTTGCACATCTTCAGTCATTACTGATATAACACAATGCTTTTGACTTTTTTTAAATGTTTACTGACTTTTGGGAGAGAACATAAAATAAAACTCTCCTTTGGCATTATGTTCTTCCTATCTTTTCCCCCTTGGAAATTTGCCTCTGGGAATTAAACAGAGAATTCAAACAACCCCACTGAGGGCTGGATCCCTCCTACACAAACGGCAGCCCTGTGACCACAGAACTCCAATGGCATTCCCACTGCGCCCTCTAGTGGAAAAAGGCTGGATGCATTTTCTAGAAGGTTCCAACACAAAGTTGGGGTTCAGTTACTTTCTGCTCTGTTTTATTTGGGGAGGGGATGCTGGGAACTGAAGCTGAGGTCTCATGCACATCACCATGTGCTCAGTAATGTTCTAACCTTACTTTTGTTTGTTTGTTTGTTTGTTCCCAAGACAGTGTTTCTCTGTGTAGCCCTGGCTGTCCTGGAACTCACTCTGTAGACCAGGCTGGTCTCGAACTCAGAGATCCAACGGCCTCTGCCTCCTGAGTGCTTGGATTAAAGGGATGTGCCACCACAACCAGCTCCAACCTTACTTTTAAAGTTAAGAGTTTCCGACAGATTGTTTCTTAAAGGAAAGTTTCTCCAAAGATACCCCATTTTCTTGCTAGAAAATATGAACTAGGAAAACCACTGATGAAGACTGGACTAATATGAAATCATATGAGATGAGTTGCACATCAACACACAAAGTTCTTCTAAAGGTGTGTGTCTTTCAAAAGTCATCACTATGAACATCACATGCCTGTAATCCCAAGAGGACTGCTGGGAAGAGAAGAGAAACCTGGCCTAGAGAGCTTCAAAAACTCCAGAACAAAACTTTCACAAAAGAAAGCAAATCCACCGGTGATGATGGTTGAGACATAAAATCACAAGTGTTTTCTAAATGTTCCCTAGTGTGACCAGTTCTGAACTTCGAAGAGGGAAACAACTAGCTTTGCCGGGCTTACAACTGTGCTCACTTCAGATGGTGCATTTGGCTTCCACTCCATCATTAGGTTCTTCTTGAATCTATTCCAGTCAGATTTTGCCAGGGACCTCCCTTTCTGCACACTACTGTGCAATTCTAGTCCTTACCCTTCCTTTGGCCTGGCTGCTCCCTCTTTTACCTTTCAGATCACCAGGCTCCCCTGGGTTTCCTCCTGGCCTCCCTTCCTATTTTCCACTGTAGCTCTTCTTCTTCTGCCTGGCCATTAACTGTTACAGAGGGGCTCGCTATCTGCACAGTGGCCCAGAACACTGTCTAGTCCTAAGGGTTTGAATGCCCGCATACCATGCCTCCTGTTTTGTAAATTTTCTGACCAGAGTCACCAAGCACTTCCTCTTGAGACTCCTGAACTTCTTAAGGACATTTCTTCCCCAACAGACAGAGATCTTTGATTGCCACATGTCACAAGTCTTGCCCATCTTAATAAACAGCCATCTTGATTCCTGTCTTCTATGTCACATGCAGTGGCTCCATCACCAACATCTGACCTAATTCTAATCACTTTGCACAAACTCCATTTTACCGCTTATCTTAGCCAATGTCTGCTTTCACCAGGATCAATGCAAGGCCTCTTGTAGTAGGACAGGCCCACAGGGTCAAGGAAATTGGCTCAGACCAGTTGCCAAGGCATGCACATAATGTACTTCTTTATGAGTCAACCTGGAGTCTGCCTGATGGCCTAGCAACAGGTGCTGTCAGAGTTCCTGATCACTTTCAGAGTTCCTGATCATGCCCAGCCAATGAGGGACAACCACACAATACCACCAGATTGGGACATAGCTTGGGTGCTGGGAGGAGGGTATATAAGACCTTCCCCATTATTAAATATTAAATAAAGGAGTTTGTTGTTTGCCTTCAACTGACTCCAAGTGTCTGTGTGATTGACGCTGTGCCTTCTCACCCACTCCCCCAACGGAGCGGTTAGGATCCAGCAACACCCTCTCTAACTTGGGCTTCTACAAAACAACAAAACCATAACACTTACCACCCAACAGATAGAGTAATCTTTATAAGATGACTTAGAACACAGCACACTTATACTCCCACTCAAATCCTCCATTAGCTTCTTACCACACTGAGTGAACTCTAAGCTATGTGAGCAGACAGCAGGCAGACTAGAGACAGAGGACAGAGACTAAGGGAGGCAGGGATAGAGGGAGAGAGACAGACAAACAGAATCAGAGAGAGACTGAATTTTATATAAAGGTACTAGATTCACACACCAGGATCTACGCATAAATGAAAAGTCAGAAAAGAGTCTAGCCTTCCACATTCTCTTGGGGCATGTTAAAGTTACACTTTATGTGTAACTTTCAAAATGTGAACCCAATTTTTCGGGGTACTTTTATCATATGCTCCTAAGACTCACTTTTGTTAGGTTCCTGGTTATCAAGAAACTTTTTAACCTAATTCGGCAATGGAAAAGCAAGACCAAATATAAAAAATACTAGACTAAAAGTGACCTGAATCAAATACAAGTCACTCCCAGCCAAGGGGCAAGGCTCCAGATGGTCAGACATAGGCATGATCATCGACTCCTTGTCTCCCCAGAACAGCAACAGAACCAGCAGTACTACATTCCCAATACCGGTGGGGCAATCCTTCCTGGACTAGTTCACCTCCCTAGAGGTGCAGCCCAGCACTGCTACAACCACCACTAGCAACTATCTTCCCTGAGCCATAAGGACAATGAGAATGGAAAGACATTCATTTTTAAGGTCAGAAAAATGTATTGGCCTATATATCTTTTCAAATTACTTCAAATCTAACTATGTCAAATACTCTATCTTGAGGTCTACTGTTGTCTGATAGGAGTAAAGTTGCTCGCTCTAAAGTACCCCTTCCTACTCGGCAGTTTAGATAAACACAAGCCAGTCAGTGAAAAGCTTGGCCTATGTCTAAGATGCAAAATATGGAAGTGATTGTATGAACTCTCTATTCCATTACAGAATTGTAACTGTGCCCCATTCTATAAGATTTCAGATAAACTCAAGATTTCCTTTGTTACTGTATTTTCCTTCCATCATGTTAGGAAGAACCTGAGCACAAGAGGGTAATACGAAACACCGTAAGCAACTTCTGTGGGGTTTTTGTTTGGTTTTGTTTTTAGTGGAAGCATAATCATCAATGGTGAATGTTCTCACTTTTGTTAGAACCCTTTCAGAAAGTCAGTTAACTAGCCCTTGTTATCATATAATGTATAGTAACTATGGCTTCTTTTATTCCAATTTATTCTAATTTCCCTCTGTGGTTTTTAAGTATGAACAGATCCCCAGGTTTAGCTACAAGTCTTGCCTTTTTTAAAATGAATGACCGTGTATCTCGCTGAGGTAACTATCAGATGAGTCCCCACAGAATCATGAGGAAAGTGGTCTCCCGGCGGCACATGGGTGAGGAGTTTCTTACCTCTCGCGGCTTGCTGGCAATGGCAACACTGCCATCCTTGTTGTATTTTATGGGCGATCCTCCTTCTTGTACCAGCGTCCCATACCCGGTGCTGGTGTAGAAGGCAGGGACTCCAGCCCCGCCTGCGCGGATCCTCTCTGCCAGTGTGCCCTACGAATAAGTAACCAGCAGCCGTGAGAAGTCCACAAAGAGCACTTGGGATGGGGAGTACAGACACTGTTAGATACGGTTCCTATTTTCTAGAGGCTCACCATCCTGCAAAGCATGTGGAGATGTATGCACTCATAAATCCCCAAGCTGAGGCATCAATTAAAAGACAATAACCATTCCATTCTCAGTCCACATTCAAACATAACTGTCCATTTCTCTAGTCCCTCTTTCAGTTTCTAGACTCCACCCCCACTGGTCTCTTGACATCATATTCTACAAATGTCTACTTTAATATTTTGAAATCAAATTTACAATTTAATTACGTAAATGTAGCTAGTCGTATATTTTTAAATGTTAAATTTTGTTTTACTGTGTATCATGTGTAATTGTAAACTAAATATTTTTACCCATTAATAGCAACAGGTATGCCAGGCAGGGTGAATAATATTTGTAATTTTAGCACCTGGGAGGCTTGAGGCAAGAAGACTGCTATGAATTTGAGGTCTACATTGAGCTACCTAACAAGCACCAGGCCAAACGGGGTGATGTAACAGGACCCCGTCTGGAAAAAAAAAAAAAAGCTCAAATTTACTTTAGAATTTATTTTAAATCACTTTCATAAATGTTTTATTTAAGCAAGGAAAACTGAAGCGAAACCTGGCATATGGGGAAACTGGTTTTTAAAAGCTGGGAGTGAAACAGCAAGATGGCTCACCAGGTAAACGTGTTTGCGACATGTGGTGGTGGTTTAAATGAGAATGGCCCCCATAGACTCATATACTTGGATTCCAGTTGGTGGAACTATTTGGGAAGGACTAGGAGGTGTGGCCTTGTTGGAGGAGGTGTATTATTGGGGTCAGGCACTGAGGTTTCAAAGGCCCAGCCATTCCCAGTGAGCTCTCTCTGCCTCCTACTTGAGGATAAGGATATAAGCTCTCAGATCCTGCTCTGGCACTATCTTCCTGTCTGCCTGCTGCCATGCTCCCAGCCATGATGGTCATGGACTCTGGCCCTCTGCAACCATGCAACCCAAATTAAACACTTCCTTTCTGTAAGTTGCCTTGGTCCTAGTATTTTGTCACAGCAATTGAAAAGTGACTAAGACACCACAGGAGGCTAACGACCTGAGTTCAATCCCCGGAACCCACATTACAGAGAGAGGGTGGGAAACAACTCTTGAAAGTGTCCTCTGACCTCAACTGGTGCACCATGGCATGCAAATGCCTACACACACACACACACATACAACAATGATGATGATGATGATGATGATGATGATGATGAATGATGATAATGATAATGTCAAATTTAAATATATATTTAAAAATCTGTAAAAATCTAGGAGTACTTCAAGTTTGGTATAGGTGAAGGCTCTTTGTGTCTCCTTCAGATGGACTCCCTTCCCTCTCCCAGAGACAGATGATTTCAAACTTCAGTTCGCTGGGTCTCTCCCATCCCCAGCTGACTTTCCACTAATTCTGGCTTTAAATGTGTCCTGACTCTCCCTCTCTCCCATACTGAAACCCCTTCTGGGGTGCTAGTACACCATGCTTACTAGACAGTCAACTAGCCAATCAGAAGCCAGAATCAACATAGTTATCAATGGCACTGTTTACACTACCCCAGCTGGAGAACTCAGTACTAACTGGGGCCTTTGAATGTGGAACAAAGAGACTAACAGTTAGGATCTCAGATACCTGGCCACCTGAGTATGTGGGGTATTCTGAAGAAAAGGGGACATGAGCCACATGAGCCAAATTCCTCAGCTAACTGCTCTCTGTTCCACCTAACAGACAAATGGCCCTACTTTGCACTGTATTTTAAGCCAATAACATTCAAAAAATTAAATCATTAAAATAGTCACAATAACACCCTCTCATTTTAAAACATTTTTTGTTCACCCTTCCCAAAGACCCTTCTCCATTTCTCTGCCCACTGGCCAAAAACCTGAAAGGAGAATATTTATGAAGAGCGGAGCCCTTCAGGTATCATCATCCCTACCCAAAAGGAGTGTCAGTCTCTACCACTTATCAGCGTTCCTCCCATCCCAGCTCTGAAGCTGCACAGGAAGATGTGAGAAGAATGGGGTGCCACGTGGTTGAGGAAAGACACACTAACTTCTTTTAGTTTAAAGGGAAAAAAATCAGCAAGTGTTAAGGAAGTTCCTCTCCCATGTATGTGTCCTCTGGCAAAACAGAGACAATGCATAAGAGTAAAGAGTCATCTTCAATAACTACACAATGGGGCTAACTAACAATGCAAAAGCTGTATGGGATGGTCTGGACTGCGTGTCCCTTAAATACTGAAGTTGACACACTAACCTCCAATGTGACAGGGGTACAAGGAAATATTTAAGATGGAAATAACCCATAAATATAGGTCCTGCTCTAGTAGGATCAGTGAAAAGACACCAGAGACCTCACTTTGCTCATCCCTGTTCCCCAAGAGGACAGAGCAGGACATCAGCCATCAGAAGCCAGGAAAAGACTCACTAGGAACTAGACTGGCTAGCTCCTAATCTTGGACTTACCAACTATTTTTCACTGTGAGAAACAAATTTCTGTTGTTTGAGCTACCCAGTCTATGGAGGGATTTTAGTTCGTTGTTTGTTTTATAGAAACCCATGGAGACTAGAAATGTATGCATTTATTCATTCACAAAACTTTAAATGAAAGTTGAGTCATACTGAACATAGCGCAGTGCTTTAACAAGTAGAGGTAACAGTGCTCTAGGTGGCCAGGTGTGACTAAGATACTGTAAAGCCTCAGTCAGAAAGGACAGTCCCTTGGGCATGCCTTCTCTAGACTAACACAGGCCTGATCATTCTTTTTTTTTTTTTTTTTTTTAAATAAAATCTGGCTACATTCCATGCTTATTAACTTGGCGAAATACTAAAGTAGCATTCCTCTAAGGCACAATGGTGCACTCAGTTCCAGAGCAAAGGCGGAGTGTGTTGAAGGGCACGCAGAGCCTTGCTTTCCCCGAAGGGCTTCAAATGCTGCCTTCGATGGTTTAGCAGAGGCGGAAGACAAGCACAAACTTGCTGCAGGAATTGCACCAATGGCTGGCCCTGTCACACTATCAGTCCCCTAAAACGCTGGGCTCTGAGCCCAGCACTCCTCTGTGAAGCACCGTCACCCTCCAACAGGCTTCACTCTCGTGACATGAGTCAGCAAGACTGGACCATTCAGAAATTTCCAGCCCTGAGAGTCATACAAACTGACTTTTAGGACCACCTCAGACATTTCAGCAAGTCCTTTTGTTGCTTCTGGCACTATGTACATTGTAGTGTTAAAACTATCCAGTAGTGCAGATATTTTCAACTTAGAAATACCTAATCTTCCGTAGTCAAAAACATTAATCCTCTAGAATCAACAGGAGCAACCCAAACACAAAATCCCTTGGTTTGACGAAACAGCATCTCTCTGTCGGAACAACAACAGAATTTCAGGAAGGAGAAAGGGAACTTTCCTACAAACTGGTCCTGTAAGACAAAACAGAGGGTTCTCCTCACCTGGGGTGTTAGCTCCACTTCTAATTCACCAGATAAGTACTGTCGCTCAAACTCTGCATTTTCTCCCACGTAGGACGAAATCATGCGTTTTATCTGCTTGGATCGAAGTAAAAGACCCAGGCCAAAGTTGTCAACCCTAGACAGAAAGGAAAGGAGTTGGTAATCATGAGACCATCTACAGAACACTGTTAGCACACATTCTTTTTTTTTTAAAGGTGAAACTTGAATAATTTAGAGGGAAAGAAATTTCTTCTTCTAAAGAATTTCTATCCACATTTCCTTCTACCCCGCACCACTCCAAGAACTTACAAGGTGGCCTGTCTTTTATTTTACAGGTAGGGAAAGTAAAGCTTAAAAGGTTGACATGAATCCCAGCACCTGGGAGGCAGAGGCAGGTGGAGCTCTGGGTTTGAGACCAGCCTGGTCTACATAGTGCGTTCCAGGTCAGGCAGGACTACACATCGAGATCTATCTCAAATTCCCCCAAGATCTCAGAGAGTAAGGGACACAGCTAGTAAAGTTCCAATCCACGTTCATCCTGTAGTTCTAGTCCACACATTTTTGTTCTTTTTACTACTGCAAAGTGATCTTGGGATAGATTCTAAGCACAGATGGCCTGGTGCTTTGGAGCACCCCCAAGCACTCCAGTGCAGAGTCTCTCTGTGTTCAAATGGAAAGGACCATTCCTGTATTAAAATAAAGGTGAGCGCACTCATTGAAATGTGAACCCACATTATACATAAGTCTAAGAACATTGTTCCTGTATCATAGACATTTCACGTATTTAGATACTTGAGTGTTCTTAATCCCCTTAAATAAAATGACTGCAGGTAGCAAAATGAATCTATATTTGTTACAATATACATATTTTGGCTTAATAATTCCTCTATTTTAAAATGAGGACTCAGTTTATTCTTGGATATGATGCAAGGACTATCAATTTTTTTCTAGATAAAAATCCCCAGGTGTGTACACTTCTTCTTTATTTCTATCACATTTTCAAAGAAAAATGCACCTATATTTTTAAGCACTATTCATAGATTAACTACTGAATGGAAGCTTATCCCTTGTCCATCGGCTTATCCCTCCCTGCTCAAAGGTTTTGGAAGTTCTTTACCCAACTAGAGGAAAAAAAATCAAACTTTCTTTGTAGGTTGGTTTGTCTGTCTGGGACAGTCTCATTATGTAATCTAAGTTGGTTTGGAACTCAAGATCCCCCTGCCTCAACTTTCCAAGTGCTGGGATACAGGCCTGGCTTTATAAAACTATTTTCTTGTTGTTTTGTTGTTGTTTTTCGAGACAGGGTTTCTCTGTGTTACAGTCTGGCTGTCCTGAAGCTTGCTCTTTAGAACAGGCTTGTAGCTAAAGCTTTCCTGGTCCCACCCGGCTCCTGCAGTCCCTCACTCCTGCAGCCACTCAGACCCAAATGAACATACAGAGGCATAATATTATTTATAACTGCTTGGCCATTAGCTCAAGCTAACTACTGACTAGCTCTTACACTTAAACTCAGCCCATTTTTGTTAATCTATATGTTGCCACATGCTCTGTGGCTTTACCTGTATGCCATTACTTGCTGCTCCCTGGATGGCGGGCTGGCGTCTCCTGACCCAGCCTTCCTCTGCCTAGAATTCTCCTTGTCTGCTTATCCCCCCTATACTTCCTGCCTGGCTACTGGCCAATCAGCATTTTATTTATCAACCAATTAGAGCAACATATATTCACAGCATACAGAAAGACATCCACAGCTCTAGACTGGCCTCAAACTCAGAGATCTGCCTCCCTCTGCCTCCCAAGTGCTGGGATTAAAGACATTTGCCACCACTACTGAGCTTATAAAGCCACGTTTAAGGATGAAATATTTTTAGGGGTCACAATGAGACAACACAATAAACACCAAGGAATAATTATACAAAAAGGAAAAACCATGCCAGTTGTCAAGGACATGAAACACCAGAATTTTCTTGTGTGCTAAGATGAATGTATACTAATCACTTTAGGGAGTGAAAAAAAAAATAAGAAAGCTGTGAGCATAACCTATTAACATTGAAGAAAATCCACGTGCTGAGTCAGCAATTCCACTCTTGGGTCTTCACCAAACAGGAATTCATGTTCACCAAAAGACATATATAATATACTCATCAATAGCATTATGACAAAAAAAAAATGAGAGCCTCTCAAATGCCTATCCTCAGAATAGATAAGTTAGAGTTTATCCAGACAACGTAATAAGATTCAGCAATGAGACTGCATGATAGACAACCACTAGACACCATGAACAAATTCCAGACAGAATGTTAAATGAAAGAAGCTATACACAAAAGTGTACACGTTGAATCAGTCCTTTTACAAGCGCTTCAGACTTTGACAGGACTGAGGAATGAAGTTCAAAGTGTCCATAATGTAGATCAGGCAGGGAGATAAGAGTAGTAACTGGGGGGGATGTGGGGGCCCATAGAGGCTCCCTAGTAAGGCCTTACTTAAGGTCAGAAAGTCTGAGCTTGCTTTGCCCAGCAGGGCTGCATAATGGGATGATTTGATCACGAGCATGGTTATCGGATGTTTTGAAGGGTCTACACTTGGTCGTACATTGTGCTTTGATCTTGAAGGAAGGCTTTTGCTACTCCTCTTGGTAGTGTATAAAAATCCCATTAGAAATAAACTTGGGGTGCCTGGGTATTGATCCAGGGCCCTCCTAAAGTTATCCTGTGTCTCTGTCTTTCTCGTCGTCATTGTCTCCTTCTATATTTCTATCTTAATACTTCTTTATTCCTCTCTCCTCCCTCCAAGAACACTTCGACAGGTCAGAGCTGGCCTCCATCAGAAGCATTGTGAAGGGAGCTTTCTGGAGATCTGGTCCTGTCCCATGTCTTTCCAAGGGTGTTGGTTACATGGCTGTGCAGTTTGTAAAACCCTATCTGTACATCTGTGTATGGTCAGTTTTCTACATCTCTCTAATATTATGTATCAATAGGTTTTTAAAAGATAAAACCACAATAAGAACAACCCTGAAATCCTCTTAGATACAGGAGCCTGTATTTCCTCCCTACTGATCACTCTCGTGTTCCGAGGGCCCCTCCCATACACAACTTGTGTTGTCTGCATGGCTCATTCATCCAGCAATCCCATACCAAATGCTTACTCTACCCTAGAGATGGGATGTCAGCTTCTGGGCTACAGCCGTGAGAAGGTGGTGTCTATGTAATACGTGATGAGAACCAGAAGATCAAGGACCTGACTGTTGACAGAGAAAGAGGGAAGAGAGTCCAGGTGAGGGGAAAAGGTCGCACAGAAGGTGAAAAATAGACGGAAGCAAAAGAAAACAGCATCTGAGAACACAGTAGGAGATGGAGATCCTGAGGCTAGAGGCATCTTCCTCAATGCTCAGCGTGAACGGGATGTGCACGGGAGGCCGAAGTGGGAGGCGGGCCTTGAAGGACTTCATCCTGAAGGACAGGAGATGCTTCCGCTGAAAGGTGAAGTCAGGAAGGGACATCAATGAAAAGGCTTGGCACAGTCCAAACCACGGTGAGCATCTGAACCAAAGAGGAAGCCACAGGAATGTAGAAGAGGGGGTACATCAAGAGGCACTGGGGAGATGGTTCATCCTTAAGACGTGTCGCCGTGGTGTAGACCTGGACCCGCTGCAGAATTCTAGCTTTGACAATGGAACCTAACGGAAGAGTGAGCTGGGGGAAATGAATCCAACAGTCAGTAGAGGCATCCCACGTGTTTTGACAAGTGAAGGTGTTAAGTATGGCAGCCTGTGGGACAAACCATTAACATTTCCTGCAACAACCACCTGCCTACTCTCTGTTACCAAGCTTACCGGTGCCCATTCCGGCTCACATGGTTTCATCCTAATTTGAAGTCTCTTACCTCCCCTTCCCACAGCATCCTGCACACCATATCCCTCAAGGTGTATCGATAAGAAGGAACTGTTAATCATTCAGTAATCTTTGCTTCCTACCCACCAGAGGCGTAAAAATATCTATATCATTTATATTTAGTATCTGTGCTGGTTTGAAAGAAAATTGTGCCCCCCAAAGGGAGTGGCACTATTAGGAGGTGTGGTTTTGTTAAAGTAGGTGTGTGGGGGAAGTGTGTCACCGAGGAGGCAGGCTTTGAGGTCTCTTTTGCTCAAGCTTCCCTCTACTTCCTGTTGCCTGTAAGATGTCACACTATCAGCTCCGGCACCCTGTCTGCCTGCACACCTCCATGTCCCACCATGATAATAATAAACTGAACCTCTGAAACTGGAAGCTGCCGCCTCAATTAAATATTTTCCTTTGTAAGACTTGCCATGGTCATGGTGTCTCTTCAGAGCAATAGAAACCCTAACTAAGACAGTATTCTTTTTTCCAAAAGAAAATTAAAGGCTAAGTAACATGTACTTTTCCCGCCTGGTGCAGTCTCCAACTAATGGGCTCCAATGAAGTTTGTGAGTGAGATCACACACAAGATCGACTTCGCCTCGCTTAGGACAAAGCAGGAAGTTGGCAGGTCTGTGGCTTCTCATCTATCCAGTCTTCAGCTAAGTATGGAACACAGTAAGTGAACCACTGCCCAGACGGTATCCTACTTTGAAAACTAAAGTTAAAGGGGAAACAGCCTCACAGGTTAATAATATAGTTGTCCACTAGAGGTCTCCGGATTACCAAAGATGATGTCTTTCTAGGGAGACATGCTTTCTAGTCTTTTTTCCTTCCTGTTTTCTTTCTCCTCCGTCCTCCTCCTCCTCCTCCTCCTCCTCCTCCTCCTCCTCCTCCCCCTCCTCCTCCTCCCCCCCTCCTCCTCCTCCTCCCCCTCCTCCTCCTCCCCCTCCTCCTCCTCCTCCTCCTCCCCCTCCTCCTCCTTCTCCTCCTCCTCCTCCCCCTCCTCCTCTTTTTCCCACATTGGTCTGTTGCTAACCTGCCCCTAAGGCCCAGGCCCCACTGCAGACTAGCAATTCTCCTCCAAACTCAGCTTCTCTTTTAGCCTGCCCCAGCATGCCTGAGAGCAGCTCCCTCCTCAGAGATGAAGAGGACACAACTAGGAACATGACCTTTCACTCTCTCCCTACCAAGTCTATCAAGACATGCTGACTCCACAACCTGTTTAAGAACCAAATCATTCCCCACTCCTTCCTCTGCCCTG